GTTAGGTAAAATGTGGCATAGATAAAGTTGAAGGTTAGGTGTTAGATTAGTAAATACATTGGATTTGAGTGGTATGCAAGCAATCTTCCTAAAAAGAAGCAAAATTCAACAGCTCACTCACCTGTACCCTTCTCAATCCAGGGAGAAACCATGATGGTAGGTACCCTCACTCCCAAGCGATCAAATTTGAAATTCATAGGACTTGGACTAATAATTCCATCAGGATTTGGGACCCCATTCACAGGGGTAGGAACATGGTCGAAAAAGCCACCATGCTCGTCATAAGTAATGATAAGGAGAGTCTCATTCCATTGAGGGCTAGCACGCAGAGTTTCGTAAATATCCTTGATGAACATTTGTCCTTGGTAAACATCATGCGAAGGATGATCGTCAGTGGCAGGCCTATTCTTAGAGTCCATGTATCGCTGTTCGATTACGGTATAGTTTGGAAGATTGCCGCTGCTTGCATGAGCTTTGAATGAGAGATCATAGGAATGGAATTTGTTAATGTACTTTAATTTGCGAAGGTTGCGGTAGAAGAGTACAGCAGGGATGTTTTGGTAGTAAATGCCAAAGGACAGACCAGCATCATCAATATTGTCAAACATTGTTCTCTGAGGAAAACCAAGTGCCAGCTTACTGCAAAGAATTGAAAACAGGAAGCTTAGAATACTGAAAGCACATGAAGAACTCTTTTGGTAAAAACTATTATCTTCAATAAAGCTTAAGAAACTCAATAAAGCTTATTATAATCTATATATTTAAGACTCAATTGTAAATTTAGTTGATACATGATTAGGTGATGTCTTGGTCTATTCTTTTGTTCATCAAATAAGCCACATGTTTATCCTTATAAAAATGTGTGTTGATATAATAGTTTATTTAATTAAAGTCTTATTTTTAAGCTCAATAGATCACATTTATAAGCTCAATAAGTATTATTCTAATAGCTAATAAATTGTTTTATAATACTGCTTGTTAATAGACTCGGAAAAAACTCATTTGATTAGTTAATGAGTTAAATTCAAGCCTAGCTGAAACAGCTATAATTTTAAATGAATCTAGCGTGAACACTATTACCAATATCGGAATCAAGCTCAAGCTTGATTTCGGGAAAAAAGAAAAGCTTAAGGTTGAGCAAACTCGTGCTTGGCCCTGCTTGATTCATTTGCATCCATATATAAACTATTCAATAAATTGATTATTGAAGTTAAAATATACATAGACCGAATACTAACAAGATGTTCCTGATAACGAGAAACTTCAACAGGAAAACATCATAAAAAAAATAATCGAAATAAAAGAAACAAAGAAAGAATAATGATTATTAGACTTCGTATGCATCCATGGAACCAAAATTTAACAAAAATAGTCGCGAAATAAAATAAAAAAAATCAATCAGTGAGAAATCTTTTGAGTTAAATATCCCTCTCAAAATTTTTAAGCTTTTTATGAAAATGATTATTAAATTAAAAATATAATTAATATTAAATTATTATTATGTATTTAAGCTTACCAGGTAAAGTTTTAAATGTACAATATCATATTATGAAATTTTCCAAAAATTTAGGGGAGTGTCACCCCCTGGTTGCACTATATATTTATGTTTTATAGTGAAAATTAGAAAAATATATCCACTATATATATTTTTGAATAAATATGCCAAGAAGTTTATTTGGGACGACCTCTTACATGTATGAACTGTTTATGAAAACCTTCACCAAAAAAATTGGCCTGTACAATGTGTCGAGAAAATTCTGTAGAAGATAGGGTAATCTATCCGTAATATAATGATTCAAGCGCATCATAAGTAATGATAAAGAGAGTCTCATCAAAGTGAGGATGGTGAATCAAGCAGGTTAGATTATGATTACGTAAGTTTTGACTAACAATGCTACTCTAATGTCAAACCACCCTAACATTTTAGACTAACCGGAAAACATAATAATCATTACCTGAGTTTTGACTAACAGGAAATATGATATTGTGTAATCTAATGTTGAGTAAAGTGGAGCCCGGTCCACTATTTCGATTTGGCAAGAATCTTTTATGACAAAATATTTAATTGTTAATTAAATATTTACTTCCTTAAAGTTTTCCCTCCAAGCCAATTGCCTAAAAAGCTTCATGCAGAATCTCGTGATATCTTGGAATCTTCTTCTTGTTTACTTAATTAGCTTCGTCTGTTTCTTATAAAATGCCAAACCCACATGCTCTCCAATACATCCCACAAACTCCTCTTCAGCTGAAGCTTGAAGGAAAAAGAAAACGAAAAGGTTTTGCTTTCAGTTTCTTTTCTTTGGCTTAAAAGAAAAAAAATATTTCTTGTGTTCCTTTCTCGTGGCTTTGAGAGAGAGGAAGGGGAGGTGAGGAAGAGAGAGATTGTTCTTTCTTGTAAACGTCGAGACGCTCGATAGTGTAATTCCTCAAAGTAATAAAATCTTCTGCAGCTTCGTGGACGTAGATAATTTACCGACCAACGAAATCTTGTGTCACCTTTTTTTTATGTAATTTTTTATCTGTTTTTTGTTTTATTACCGTCGTTTTTTCATAACAATTGGTATCAGAGCTTTAGTTCAGATCTAAGAAAGAATGATGGTGGAGACGAAGTGATGACATAGGGGATCGAAAAGTTCAATGACACAGACTTTAGTTACTAGATGATGCAGATGGAGAACTATCTCTACGGGAAAAAACTCACCTGCCATTACTGGGTAAGAAGCCGGAAAAGAGGGATGAGACTGAATGGAATCTGTTGGATCAACAGATTCTGAGGGTTGTTCGATTAACCCTGTCAAGATTCGTTGTTTATAACGTCATCAAGGAGAGAACTACTGTAGATCTCATGACGGTTTTATCAGACATGTATGAAAAACCATCAGCGAATAATAAGATGCACCTGATGAAAAAGTTATTCAACCTGAAGATGACAGAATGTGTGTCTGTTGCTCACACCTGAATGAGTTCAAATAATATCACAAATTCATTGTCGTCTGTAAATTTATTTTAAAGATGAGATACATGTGTTGATATTGTTGGTTTCATTGTCAAATAGTTGTGAAGTCATGAGGAAGACAGTTAGCAGTTCTGCAGGTAAATCTAAACTAAAATATGATGATATTCGTGATTTAATTTTGGCTGAGGAGATGCGCAGGAAAGATTCTGACGAGACATCAGGTTTGAATTCGACATTGATTGTTGATTCTAGAGGGAGATCACGAGACAAGAACTCAAACAGAAGAAGATCAAAATCAAAGTCTTACCAGCAGATGGTCAACAGACAGCCTGTTGGAATTGTGGCAAAACTGACCACATAAAAAGAAACTGCAGGAATCTCAAGATGGAGAATGATGACGCTAATGTTGTAACTGAAGAAATACAAGATGCACTATTGCTGGTGATTCACAGTCTTATTGATGACTAGATACTGAATTCATGAGTTTCCTTCTATACATCTTCTCATCGAGAGTTAACGCGGAACTATGTTGTAGGAAACTTTGGGAAGGTATATCTGGCTGATGGAAAAGCTTTAGACGTGGTGGGGATATGAAACGTTGATATTGCACTCCCTAATAAAAGCAAATAGACTTTGCAAAAAGTTAAGCACGTTTCTGAGTTGAAGAAAAACGTCATTTTTGTTGGGCAACTCAATGAGAATGGTCATTTAGTAGTGTTCTCAGATAGTATTTGGAAGGTTATAAAGAAACATTAGTATTGGCTCTGGGTAAAAAAACCGACACACTGTATATGACTACAGGTTTCTCAGACGTGGGCACATGAGCCAGAGGTGCATTATGGGGCAGCAGAAGATAGTCAATTTTCCGAAAGGTGGCAGAGCGCCAAAGGTAGGAAAAATGGATTTTGCACAAATATATGGTAGAGAACCACAAAGTTATGAAGAAATCTTACAAGATGAAAGTTCGAGCAAGTGGGAGCTGACAGAACTTTCACCAGGAAAAAAGGAATTGCATAACAAGTGGGTATACCGGGTGAAACTGCGCTTGATGACACTAAGAGGTACAAGACTGGACTTGTTGAAAAAGGCTTTCAGCTGAGACATAATATTGTCCATGCAGTGGGAGTTGTAAGCAGATTCATGAGTAACCCAGGAAAGAGCTTGGAGGTACAAGACTACGTTGACACTGATATATTAATTAAGGGTGTTACTCTTGAGAAACTGAAGTTGTGTGCAGTCAGTGGATAGTTTTCTAGCGTGAAGATAGAAGCTTTGAGTTGCAGAGGAGGAGGATATCACGTTTGAAGAAAAGGGCGATGCAGTCAGTAGATGGTGCAGCTAGTGTCCCAGTATCCAAGTGAGAGAATTGTTGAGGAAAGTGGAGCCCGGTCCACTATTTTGATTTGGCTGTTATGATAAAATATTTAATTGTTAATTAAATATTTACTTCCTTAAATATTTCCCTCCAATAAAATGTCTGAAAAGCTTCATGCAGAATCTTGTGAAATCTTGAAAATTTTCCTCTTATTTACTTAATTAGCTTCGTTTGCTTCTTATAAAAGGCTAAACCCACCTGCTCTCTAATACATCCCACAAACTCCTCTTCAGCTGAAGCTTGAGAGAAAATGAAAAAGAAAAGCTTTTGTTTTCGATTTCTTTTCTTTTTCTTAAAAGAAAAAATTATTTCTTGTGTTCCTTTCTCGTGGTTTTGAGAGAGAGGAAAGAGAGGTGAGAAAGAGGAGAGAAAGGAAGAGAGATTGTTCTTTCTTGTAAACGTCGAGAAGCTCGACGGTGTAATTCCTCGAAGTAATAAAATTCTCTGCAACCCCGTGGATGTAGACAATTTGCCGAACCACTTAAATTTTGTGTTGTCTTTTTTTCTGGTGTAATTTTTTATATACTTTTCGTTTTATTGTCGTTGTTTTTTCATAACATCTAAAACACCATAAACTATTTGTATTGGAGTCCTGATGCAGTTTTGTATCAGGACTCCAATCAGGGCATGTCAATTGTACAGACAGACTCATCCATGTATTAAATTGGGAGTTTGTCTGTACACGTGACAGATCCTGATTGGAGTCCTAAAGCAAAATTGCAAAGCTCCCGATGCAATAATTTCTCCATAATCTAACCTGTTTAATCTATTTGTAATCCTCGCTTGAACAAAGTGGCCCTGCTTGAAGTATGATAATCATTTGGATCATGCTAACGAGGCTTTTATTTTTATTCAGCATAATAATCATTCTGCTTTGTTTTAGACAAACAGGAAAGCGCCATATTCTACAGGTTAGATTACGATTCAAGCATGATTTAACCGAGGATGGTGTAAGTTTTGGGCAATATTCAGACTTGATTTGAGCAAATTCTAGTACAGCAAAATTGCATGTTAAAGATTTGTTTGCTTGCTTATAATCAATAGAGTCACACAACCGGCTAGTTTTGTAATTGGACAACAGGTTTTCATAGTTTAAATAACTAGAGCTTTTTATTTGACATTCTTTACTTTTTAATACTATTCATCAGTGTTAAAAGCTGAGAACCACTCCATTTTCAACTATCTTCTACAGGATGCATGTGAGGAGCTAAGTTAGTGATGTGGAGCTCATTTGAGAAGGCATCACAAAACCGATGACATGCTACGTAGCTCGCAAGGTTGAAACAACAGAGATTGAATAAAGATGGAGTTTCAAACAAAGAATTGAACCATTATTTAAACTAATTTCTTTATTGATGCTCTTCAACAAATAAACTCTGAAAATAAGAAACACAAATTCGTCCAAACTTAACATGTATTCCTTCAAGTAAACAGGATATACTTCCCTATGATAAGCATATAAAGCCACATTTTCTTATTATAATAGAAGTTACGCCCCAAATTTAGATACCCAATATTTCTTTCATATGCTTATCAAGGGTCTCTAACATGAGAGCAAATACATATCGGTGGTATTCTGATGATATTGTGATTGTATTGCGATATAATATCATTATAATATCACCAGAATAGTATCAATTTACACCTAACCTGCAAGCATCTAATCCCCTAGCAAATTTTTCTTATAACATCATATAACCTTCCCATCACCAGAACTCCACTCATGCGACGCTGATCCTCCGTCAGTGCCGAAATCGCTGTTTTCACCCATCACCAGATCTCCTCCAATAGCCGGAAATCGCACACGAGTCCCAAAAATTTGTTTATTTATTTAGAGATGGTGACCTACCCTTGATACCAACAATGCTCCAGACATCAGCATCAATAGTTGAAAAAAAAACGTCGTTAATGCTCTTGACAACAACATTAGCTAAAAATAA